AGGCAAGCACTCAAGGTTTCCCCCCCATTCTCACTTCAGTTTAACTTGACCCTCTCTGAAAATGGTCCATTCCAGATCTAGCAAACAAGGACAAAGAAATGTAGCTGTCCACCTGATGGATACTGCATGCCTGATGGCATTCAGGTGATGGCCTGAATAAGGAAGGAAGCCTGGAAGGAAGGACAGACCACGCAAAGCTCTCCTTGGAACAAGAGACAAATTGACTTAAATTTAAACATGACAATGTTGTTTTAAAATGGGGGTGATGGAGGAAAATGCTGATATAAAATCCTGGGCCAAGAATTGGCTCCATGGTAGAGCAAATACTCCCATAGAGGAGCTGGTTTGGGTCTCAGCATCCATACTGAATGTTTCACAGCTATCTGAAACTCCAGTTTCAGGGATCCAATGCCTCTGGTGTCTATGGGCAGCTTGACTCAAGTGGACACAAACACACAATTAAAAATAAATCACAAAATTCAGGGCAGCTGAGCTGGTTCAGATAGTGAAGGTGTCTGCTGCCAAGCCCAATGACCTCAGTTGACCCACAACCCCATGTGATGCAAGGAGAAAATTGATTCTTTCAGGTTGTCCTCTGACCTCCACACAGACTGTGGTTCCTCCGAAAATGAATGAAAATTAGCAATTTCTTTAAAATCCAGTCTTAAAAGTATATCTCTGGAGTAAAAGGAGAAAGAGAACGCTCTATCTTCAGTGATTCTATTGCTTACATCGTCCATCCAGACTGGAATTAGCAAAGCCAGAAAGTGTTCCCCGGGGAACAGGAAAGCTCAGTTCTAAAACTTGTCTGGAATGGCTGAATGAAGAGTCTGAAACAGAGTGTGTGGGAGAATCACATACCAGGAGAAAACCCAGGGAAGGTGGTGTGGGAGAATTATCTGTAATCTGTCAATCATGTATTTTAATAAAACGCTGATTGGCCAGGCAAGAAGTATAGGTGGGTCAACCAGACAGGAAGTGGAGGCAGGGCAATGAGAATAGGAGAAGGCTAGGGAGGAGGAAACTTCAGCCATTCCTGCCCAAACCACCGAAGAGGCAACATGTAAGCTGCCCCGCTGGAAAATGTACTGAGTCATTTGCTAACGTAGATAAGGATAATGGGGTAACATAAGTTATAAGAACTAATAAGTAGCCTGACCTAATGAGCCAATCAGTTTACAATCTTATGAAGTCTTGTGAGTGATTTTCTTTGGGCTTGCCGGTTGTGGAGTACTGGGCGGGACAGATACCCCAACAAGCTGGCCCTCATGCTACAGGAAGGCACACATCTGGAGGTGGAAAAGCAATTAAAGGGGGCACGCAAGAAATGCAGTTCTGGGTCACTTTACAGTGGGTCCTGAGTATGGCTACAGAAAATAAAACTTTCTCAGATGAGATATTCCTTAGAGAATTTTATATACGTAGTCCCTTCTTGCATAATCTACTACAAATATCCAAAAATTCCAATATTTTCTCCTTTCAGTAGGCCCCCAGAATGAGGCGAAATCGTCTTCTACTCTACTTGTCCAGAATTTCCTCAAGAAGGATCCACAGGGGTTCGGAAATGTACAGAACAACGTCCTTCCTGTATTTATTCCCGTGCCTCAAGTACAACCTGGAGAGCACACAAGGAAGGCCTTTCCCAGACATCTTGTCCTTGAGATCTGGCCCAGCAGGGAAGCACTGGCAGACCTGCGGGCCCTTCTGTGCTTTCCTGTCTATAGCACTGCATAGCCCTGGCTGTCCTAGAACTCACTCTGTAGACCAGGGTTCACCAGCCCCTGCCTCCTGAGAGCTAGGACTGAAGACATACACCATCACACCCAGTTCCTATCTTTAGATTATCCTATCCTTACTACACTACCACTAACATGTTATCCTTACTATACTATACCATACTATACTAAATGCTATCCTTACTATAATACACTAACATGCTATCCTTACTATACTATACCATACAATACTAAATGTTATCCTTAGTATAATACACTAACATGCCATCCTTACTATACTATACCATACAATACTAAATGCTATCCTTACTATACCATACTATACTATACTATATAAAATGTTATCCTTACTATACTATACTATACTAAATGCTATACTTACTATACTACACTAACATGCTATATTAACATGCTATCCTTACTATACTATACTAAATGCTATACTTACTATAATACACTAACATGCTATCCTTACTATACCATACTATACTATACTATATAAAATGCCATTCTTACTATACTATACTAACATCCTATACTGACTATATTACACTAACCTGCTATACTTACTATACTACACTAACACACTATACTTACTAGGCTACACTAACACGCTATACTTACTAGGCTACACTAACTTGCTATACTTATAGGCTACACTAACACGCTATACTTACTAGACTACACTAACATGCTATACTTACTAGGCTACACTAACATGCTATACTTCTTGACTTGACTTATTGTTTTCATTTTCTGTTTTCAGCTGCATTACCGTTGGCTCCTTGTGTGTTGCTTTGCTATAAAAAAGGTGTGTCTAACCTCTGTGAAAGGAAACACGAGTGACCATCATTAACAGTCATTCCAGTAAACAGTCTAAATGTCCCTGTAGCTAAAGCAAACATCTTGAAGTAGAGGCAGCCCAACTGCTTCCCATCTCAGTTTCTTTGAGCAGCAATGAGGCCTGTACTTAGATTGACAGTCACTTGAGATGCGGAGTTGGGCACACCTAACACAGCATCTGTTTAGAGAACTCTCTTAGTATACCAGTTTTTCCAGTGTCCGTACAAGTAGGTCTTACTATTTGGTTTAAGGATTTCCTAACACTTTTGTTCTAAATAATATTTTTAAATGAAAAATCACTATATTTTCCCAAACCAAAAACAATTGAGCAAATTTACAATTTTACAATTGCTTTAGCATCTAGCTGAATATTAGTTAAATTCTATCTGCATTTAATCTATCTAGATACAATACACATATTGTATTGCTTCTGGAAAATTCTCTGTGCATTCATAAGAGCTGGAGAGTAAAAAGGGTTAGTAACTTCAGGTACTTTTATAATCCAGCAATCATGTTGCAGAATCTCATTTCTGATCCTAAGTTTCTGCCCTGATTATAGCAGGAGACAGGTGCAGCTGTGTCCGCACTGGGCCTGGGGTGCAGGCCAAGGACAGTGCCACAGCTGTCTGTGTGAGAGGCTGCCGCATGGAAAGGACCTGCGGAGAACACTATTCCTGAGCTTGTCAGGGTTCACATACCCTAGTCCTAAAATCAGTCCTAAAAAGACGGCTCATAATCATGGCCAAAATCACAAGTGGAAAGGAAGAAAGGGGCCCAGCCTATCCATGAAAGCACTGTCTAAAAACAGGCCCCGTCCAAATGCAGGGGCTCTGTCACTGCCGTACCCACAGGAGACTGCAGTTAGCTGTTGGCTCAGAAAACTATTCTTCCAAAACATAAATGCACTCTTTTAAGATGTAATTCTTGTTTGATAGTGGTTTCGAAACTTGTTATCTATAACTGATAACGTACAACACCGAAGTTCCTGAAATATACACAATGAAAATTTCCCGTGTTGTCCATTGACACCCAGCACACATTACACACCATGTACATATACACATTAATTCCTAGGTTCTCGCTGGTAGATGGGCCCGTGTGGGGACATCCTTCAGTGTTCTCTTCCCTGCCACATGGTGGATGATACAGTTCAGGATGTGGAGGCTCTGCCAGTGTGGCTCCCTGGCTATGGGGAGGGTTGCTGAGGGGTCACAGTCGACGCACGGTGTGAGCAAACCTTTGCAGCATTAAGCCGCTGGGATTCTGAGGCAACTGTTAAAGCCTACCCTGACTAGTGCTCTGTGTCCTTTGAAAATGTTTTTAAACTCACGTTATTTATTTCACAGCAGAAAAACTAGTAGAGGGAACTGTACCTTTGAAAAGCAATACAAATGTAAGAAAACTGGTTAAAATTACAATTCAATTTTAGTTTACGTAGTCTAGTAGCTTTTAGGTTTCCTTCTGACTTGTTCAGACAGGAAAAGAATATCTCAATTCAATGATCTGAATCTGAACGTCAAGAAATGAGTGCTGAAAGGAGGACATACTAAAGAGCAGAAATCAATGAAATTTAAGAACAGCAACAGGGCTGAAGCTTTTGTAATCATTAAAAAATAATTAATGACTATTTTGAACCATTTTTCCAATAATTTAAGCATTTGTGATAGCCAGGCAGTGATGGTGCAAACCTTTAATACCAGCACTCGGGAGGCAGAGGCAGGCAGATCGCTGTGAGTTCAAGGCCAGCCTGGTCTACAAGAGCTAGTTCCAGGACAGCCTCCAAAGCTACAGAGAAACCCTGTCTCAAAAAAGAAAGGAAGGAAGAAAGGAAAGAAGGAAGGAAGGAAGGAAGGTAGGAAGAAGGAAAGAAGAAAAAAAATCACATCTTGGGGCTGAAGAGATGGCCGTTCTTCTAGGGGACCCAGGTTCAATTCCCAGCACCCACATGGCAGGCAGCTCAGAACTGTCTGTGACTTCCTGTTTCCTGCTGAAAAACACTGATGCACATAAATTAAAAATAAACAGTTTTAAACATTTGTGATGAAACAGTATAGATACTACCAAAACTCATCCACAAAAGAGTGCTAAATATCTTTATTAAAGAAACCAACCCTGGCTGGAGACACGGCTCAGCAAATAAAAGCACTCGTTACTGTTGCAGAAGATCTGGATTTGGTTCCCAGCTCCCACACAGAGGCTCGCAGCCACCTGTAACTCTAGTTCCAGGGGATCCAGTGCCATCTTCCAGCATCAGTAGGCAGTAGGCACATCCGTGCTGCATGTACACAATACAGGCACAAATACCAATACACATAACATATTTTAGTCTTAAAACATCTATTTAAAAAACCTTTCCTCAAAAAGTTTCAACACAGTTGCTTCCCTTGATTGATTCCACCGAATGTTTAAGAATAAGTATAGGGGCTCGCTTCGGCAGCACATACACTAAAACTGGAGCCATAAAGACATCAGCATGGCCCCTGCGCAAGGATGACACGCAAATTCGTGAAGTGTTCCATATTTTTAATAGAGTGTCCCAAACGTGGCAGAAGAAAAGGTCTGTCCTAGCAGAGCCTGGAACATGAAGGACTTTGGAAATCAGATCACTGAGCTTCAACCTGAAACTCCGCATCTGCTTCCTGAGGAAAGGATGCAGCAGGAGTGTGCTGGCCCCCTGAGCACATCTACAGGACGGACACTGAACTCAAGGAAGGGAAAGTCTGAAGCAGGGAGAGATCAGTTGCTTATCAGTGCCTCCAAAGCAGTGGAGAGCCTCGCTGAAGTGCAGCAGGTGGAAGACCTCCTGACGGAAAGATACATGTTCTAGAAGAAGATGTGAAAGCTGCCCAAGCAGAACTAGAGAAGGCCTTTGCAGAGACAGAAACAGAGAAGGTGTTTCGCCTCAGCTTGGAAAGCAAGTTCTCTGCGATGAAGAAGACGCAGGAGGGGGACCTGGAGTTGACTCTGGCTCTGGAAGAAAAGGACAGACTGAGGAGTTGAACTTGTCTTTGAAGAGCAGGGAAGTTTTAATTCAGTGCCTTAAAGAGGAGAAATCTCAGATGGCATCTCCTGATGAGAATGTGTCATCTGGAGAACTCCACTCTGAGGAAGCAAAGGAGACAGACATTGAGGCTGCACAAGGGAATGACAGAAGGAGAGACATCACTTGGAAGAGAAGATCCAGGCACTTCAGGAGGATCTGAGAGAGAAGCAAAGAGAAATTGCTACAGAGGAAAAATAGCTTAAAGAGGGATGAAGTCATTCAGGGCTTAACCATGGCATTAAAATGAAAGGAAAAAGAGGTTGAAGAACTTAACTCTGAAATCAGAGCTCACTGCTGCTCTCACCAAACCTGGGGAGCCCCCCTGATAACACAGACCACAAAATTCCAGGGGCCTGAGGGCTATGAGGCTGCCCTGGCAGAAAAGGAAGCCTTGTTGGCTGGGCTGCACTCAGAGCGCTGAGAACCACAGACTGCTCAGGAAAGGTAAAATGGTCACCCAGGAGTTGAGTGACCTGAAGAAGCAGAAGCTGAGACTAGAGAGGGACCTGGAGGAAGCCCACCAAGAGGGGAGCCAACGGGTCCACACCATCCATGACCTTAGAAGTGAAGCTGCAAACGAGTCCACACCATCCATGACCTTAGAAGTGAAGCTGAAAAACTAAAGAATGAAGCGAATGGGAGAGAGAACGCAGTGGAGAAGCCTTACAGGAGTCTGCTGAGCGAAAGCAGTACAAAGCTCCACACTGCAGAGCCGGTGCTTGGGTGTCTTACAGAAAGTGAAAGTCAGAAGAACCTGCTGCTTTGGGAAAAGCAACAATCAGACCATGAAGGGCTGACGGGACTTACAGACGGAACAGAGCATCTATGTCCATCTGGCGAAGACTCTGCAGGACTCAGTATCAGCGACCTGCAGGCTGAGCTGAAAGAGGTTCTTGCCCAGCGGAAGCAGCTGGAGCAGGATGCGCCTGCTATTGGAATCTGCAGAAGGCCCTGCGGGAGCAGCTCCGTGAAATTCGAGGTGGGAAGAAGAACCGTTTTCACTTTATAGTGATCAGACATCACGTCTGTTTGCCTTAAGAGCACAGTCAGTTTCAAGTGGAGCATTTTTCTCAAGAAGAACTCAAGAGAAAGGTCAGTGACCTCGTACAGCTTGTGAAGGGCCTGTGCACAGACAACCCACACCTAAAGAAAACCATTTTTGATCTCTCTTCCCCATGGATTTCCAGAGAAACGACAGACTTGAGTCAACAAAACAAACACAGATCACGGAGGACTATGCCAAGAGTGACTGCAAAAATGAATATTTAAGGCATATGGATTCCAATATTTTAGACCTTGATGGGGCCAACACACCTGGTATCCCTGGAGACCAGAGCCTGGAAGACAAACTCCTGGGCCTGCTTGCCACTTTGTTCCAAAAGAAGGCCACCCTGATGCTGGAAGCCAGACCAGATCTTCTGAAAGCACTGGGTGCCTTGGTTTTGGAACGAATATACTTGGGAGAGCAGGAACTTCCTGGAGATCACCTTGATAGTAAAGCGAAGAAGGCACTGCAGGAAGTAGCTCTTCAGCTGAGAGATGAACTTGACCTTCCCTTCCCAGACAACTCATTCTCCAAGTCACACAATGAACTCAAGTCAACATGGGGGACCTGGCTAGTAAAGACAGGTGACAGAGCCAAGGTGGAGCTGAAGAATGTCCCAATGCAAACTATCACCATAGAGGGGATACCCCCCCCCCCCCCGTGGATTCAAATCTAAGGGGAAGACAGAAGCTTGGGAAGAGAAACCCGAAGAGGCCACTTTCAGCACTGACCCTGAGTCAGAGGCCTTGTGTGAGACGCTCCCCTCCCATTCCCTAGTACAATCAACAAGGGTGCTCAGAAGACAGACTTGATGATCCAATTAAAAGCTTCTGAGTTACTAGAAAATGGGTACGACCTTCCTGCTTCCCCAGAGGTGGTGGCTCAGCTCCAGGGCCGGGTTCTAGAGCTGCAGGGGGAGCTGGAAGAGTGCGAACCATGCAATAAGAAACTCCATGAGAAGCTCATTCTGGCAGAGGCAGTGACGGAGGGGATGACACTACCCAACCCCGCGTTGCTGAACGGGCCTGCGGCTGTTGCGAGAGCAGCCTACCAGGACAACCCAGGCGAGCAAGAAGGACCTGAAACCACACACTCTGCTTGGGAAGACAAGGAAGCAGACAGTGACCAATACACAAGCTTTGAGATCGGTTCTGAAATGTGTCCACCTGACGACCTTGCTCTGTTACCAGCATGCAAAGAGAACACTGGAGACTTCTTAGGACCAATCTCTGTAGCCACTTACTTGAATTCTGGGAGTCAACTCTCCATTAAAGACGGTGTGATTGGGACTGATCAGTCTGAGAATACTAGTATCTCCAATGACACAGAAGCCTTAAAACAGAAAATCCATGACTTGCAAACCGAGCTGGATAGCTTCACTGTCCAATTACAGAAGCCTCTCAGTGCAGTGAGGCCATTATCACAGTTTTGTGTGGGACAGATGGGGCTCAAGATGGCTTGAACAAGCCTATGGGCCAAACTGATGAAGAAGAGATGACAGTTTCAAGTTTTCACCAAGTACAGTATGTGAAGCATATGAAATTCCTCTATCCACTAACCCCAGAGGTGATTGACCGCGGGATGCTAGAGAGCCCCACACAGCAGCTGGTGGAACAGAAGGAGCTAAAGAAGGAGCAGGATTTTAACTTGAAACTTTTCAGTGAAATCCATAACCTGGAGAACAAGTTCCGAGACCTCTCTCCATCAAAATAGATTCATCGGTTCAGTCCCAAGCCAGGGAGCGCTCCCTTCAGCGGCAGCAGATTAAGGATAGCCATGACATCTGTCATTTACTGTCAACACATGAGCACCGTGATCAAGGCATTTGAGGAGCTTCTGCAGGCCAGTGATGTGGATAGTTGTGTGCCTGAGGGCTTCCAGGAACAGCTAACACAGTGTGCTGAGCTGCCTGAGCAACTGGAAAAGCTGGTTCTCCATGGAGCGTTGGCCGGAGCGGAAACACGTCCCCAGAGGAAACTGCAAGAAAGGTTGAGAACGGAGGAAGACAACTTAACCCATCATCATCTCCTGCCTGACTCTCCTGGGCCTTCTGCCTCTCACACTGTCAGATGGTGAGATGTGTGGTAAGTTCTTCCTGTCCTCAGAAGAGAAGAGAGACCACAAGCCTGGGAAGTTACTGGCCATTTTCCTCAAGACATACTAATGGAACACATACAGGATATTTGAACTTTGAGAAAGTGTTTGAAAGAACCTAATAAAACAAATGAGAAGCTCTGGAAACAGTTGGAAGGGCAGGGGTCTGAGACTGACCAAGGTTCCACAAATGTTTCTGCTTATGGCTCAGAGCTGCACAGCTCTCTGACATCAGAGATACATTTCCTGAGAAAGCAGAACCAGGCCCTCCGTATGATGCTAGAGAAAGGGTCCAGAGATAAACAGAAAGGGAATGGGAAATGACTTGTCCCTGTCTAGGAAGCTGCAGTCTTGAGCACCTTCAGCTAGAGCACACCAGTGTGAAGGGGGGAAATGAGAGGTTACAGAGAGACATCAGCGAGAAGCAGAGACACAGTCGGCAGCTGACCCAGGAGATCTGCAGCCGCCGCCAGGAGCTGAGCAGGTACAGGAAGAAGTGAAGTCAAGGCAGCAGCTGCTCTCACAGAACGATAAGCTCCACCAGCCCTCCAAGTGGAGCTGAAGGTGGATGAGACGCTGGATGAGAAACATAGGAAGTTACAGAGCGAGGCCCAAGGCTAGGCATCTAGAGAAGGCTGGAATGGACCTGATTCTTTCAGCGACCTGCATGGCCTCCTGACAGAGATGAGGGCTCTCCGTGAGCAGCTAGAGAGGAGTATCCAGACCTACAGCACCCCGAGGAGCAGCTGTCACAGGGAGCAAAGACGCCCCAGGAAGGGGCCCTCACTCTGGCTGTCACCAAGTCAAGGCCCTGTCACCGAGTGGTCCCTTCAGTTGGACAAACATGATGGCGATGAACGTCCTGAAGTCATTGATAATTCATTTGATCTATCTGAGTCCACCCAGGCAATGACACTGAAATCAGCTTGCGAGACTCCGCCGCTGTCTGGAACTGACGTGGACTCCCTCCAGTGACAGTTGCACGTCCATCATCAGCCTCCCTTGTATGCCCTGCCTGGTTGCTGAACACCATGTGTGGACCAGCAAGAGTGGCCACCACATGCTGGGCCTGACCGAGGACTATGATGCCCTCCCTAAGCAGATCAGCCGTGGCCAGAGACTGCTTGCCGAGATGGACATTTAAACTCAAGAGGCTCTGGGCTCCACAGGTCAACAACTGGGGCCAAAGATTCCACTCTCTGTGCCTCTGAGCAAGTTTTTCTTTAGCGTGAATACAGCCAGGCTGATCCTGGAAGAAGCCTCAAGGTTGCTGACACTCTTCTGGAAGGTCCCAGTTCCCACAGATGGCCAGTGTTCACTTCACTGTGAGCAGATTGGAGAAA